GTGGGGCGGGCGGGCTCTGCGGCGGCAGCGGCTGCTTCTTCCTCGGGCCATTTTGCAGTGGAGCGACAGGGAGGAGGAGGTGCCGTGGAGACCCTGGGCGACAGTCGACGAGCCGGAGGAGGCGGCGGCCGCGCGGGCTCCCAGCTTTCCGCGGTCGCGGGGATCTCGAGGGGCGAAGGGATCACAGGGGAGGGGGACCCGAGAGCTGCGCCCGCCGCGCGGAGCGTCCCTTCCCGCCCCTTGCACCATGAGCTGGGGCACCGAGCTCTGGGTGAGTGAGGGGCTGGGCCCCGGGCTGCGGGGCAGATGCCGAGTGCGCGGGCCTGAGGAGGGGGCGCGGGCCCCGCTGTCCGGGCGAAGGAGATGGCGCTCGGGGTTGGGGTCTCTGCGGCCTGGCGAGGTGGCGGAGGGCCCCCGGGCCCTTGGTTGGCCTTGGCCGGAGCAGAAGGTGCGAGCCAGTTCGCCCTTCGGAGCCAAGGGGAATTGGCGTGGGTCCCCGGCGGCCCGAGAAGGAGGTGCGGGTGGGGTCCCCCCGCCACCCCGAGGAGCCGCCGCGGGTCCGGCGCCGGACGGCCGGAGGTGGGGCGCGGGCCGGCCTCCTCTCCCGCCCGCGGCCGGCGCTGTGTGGTGGGGAGAGTCTCAGTCCCTCGGGGCTGGTAACCGGGGCCCGGGGAGGGCTCGGCGGGGGCGTGGAGGCCCTGGCCGCACTGGGCTGCGGCGTTTGTCCTGGCGCCCCAGCTCCGACTCCCCGGGCTGCCTTCTCTCCGAGGGGGTGCCGGCGGGTCGGGCGCTCTTCCCGGGGGCGGGGCGCCTGGTTTGGGGTTTGGGGGTGTCAAGGGCAGCAAGTAGTATCTTGCCTCTGGAGACTAGGACTGTTGACCAGTGGGTGGTTCTGGGCGCGCTTGTTCTTAAGGGGCAGTCCAGATCCTGAATTTGGTGTGGGGACTGCAGCGTCTGGCCCTGAGTGGGAACGCAGTAGGTGTTAGGAGGAGATCTTAATTATCATCCTCGGCAAGAGGCTTTCTCAGGGTAAATCATTCTCTTCCCGCTGCCGAGGGAACAGTTTCAAACAAGGACGGTTGGCGAGGAGGTGCGTCTTGCCAGGATCCTCAGCCTGCGAGATGCGGACGGGTAAACAAACAGCTTGGAGTCTGGAAGGTCTGTCCCGGCCTGAGGGCGAGCAGGGGATGATGCCGGGGCAGGTCACGGGCCATCCCCGGGAAGGACAGGCTGCCGGCAGTGAAGGGGGCTTCGTCAGGATTCCTGGGGAAGGCGATGGGCAGGGGACGGGCAGTGCAGTGGCCAGTGGAAAGGAGTGAACGAAATCTCAATGATTGCCTTGAAATAAATGCTCTCGAGATGAGCCATTTCCCACGGTGAACTCTGGAGTGCCTGCTCACTACCTTTGCGAATGCCATTTGTAAAGCGTGCGGAGGAGAAAGTGTAGGGTGGTGGTGTTATCTGAGATGAGGCCGGGAAATCTCACGTTGAAATAAAACAAGGTTAGAGCACTGACAGAAACCTCTGAGCCATCCTCCCTTAATTTGGGCAGCGGGAGAGGAGGTTGTTTTTACATAACCTTTTGTTAGGCTCAAAAGCAACTACTGTTAATTAGTACCAAAATCCTGAGCGCAGTTGCTCCCTTAAATTAAGATAATTCATTTTGTAAACATTCTCTGACTAAAAGGAATTCATGACAAAATTTCCGCTGATGTTTAGGAATATTCGTTTTGAAAATGAAGATAGTTTTAAATATTTGCACACATCAATTTAGGTAAAAATTTACAACTTAAAGTTGCCATATTAAAGTTTCTTCTTCTAATCCTTTCCCTCTCCCCTTAGCTCTTTTTAGCTTATTTTGGGTAAGAGAACAAATCAGAAGTAATCTTTATCAAGAGAATAGAAATTTTGGCATGATAATTTTTCACTTTTTCAAACAGGAGAATGAAATTATGGAGGGAAAAAATGCAGGGTATTTCTGAGTGAAATAAGGACTGAACGCAATGGTGGACATTTCATAGTGGCGTTGGCGAATGTTATAGACGATAACCGGAAGAGAGGAAGTGGGTTTGAGAAGAACTGATCAAATTGCGTCTATTAGCCAGCATAATTTTGTGCATTTCTTTTTGGGGGTGAAGAAGTGGGAAGGAAGTCAAGGACAGGAGCTGTTGAAAATGAATCAGGACTGGAGTATGTATGAGTGATATGAAACTTTGGATTTGCTTTACAGTAATTTTGGGTGTTGGATAGGGAAGCCAGGTAATGGGCATTGAAAGTTCATTATACTGCATATGCCAGAAATTTTCTACAATAAAAAAATAATTGGGGCAGCGCCTGTGGCTCAGTGAGTAGGGCGCCGGCCCCATATCCTGAGGGTGGCGGGTTCAAACCTGGCCCC